GGGGTCCCAGGAGGGGGCAATCGGGGGACAAGGACCAGTGGGGCTTAGATAGGGGGTGGGGTCCTGGGGGGCAGTTGGGACAGGTGTCCCGGGAGGGGGTGATCAGGGAGCAGGGGGGTTGGATGGGTTGGGGTTTCTGTGGGGGGCAGTCAGAGGGAGTGGATGTTGGCAGGGTGGGGCTACCCTCCCTCCCCGTGGAGTGTCCTATTTTTTGAATGTTAAAATATGGAATCCCTACTCACAGTGCAGCTCTCCATTCACAGCAGGCTGCAGCATGAGGTCTCAGCTTCCTCACTCCCTCCCCCTCTTTCCTGTTGGGAAAGGGAATGCTGGGAAATGTAGTTCTTTCCCTGCTCCAGGGCTGGCTCTATAGGCAGGGAGCTAACCAAGGAACTACAGCTCCCAGGGCCCCCTGTTGGTTCTCAGCTCCCATGCTGGATCCCTGCCACCCCTGCAAATGGGCTGCCCCAAGCACGTGCTTGCTTTGCTGGTGCCTAGAGCCGCCCCTGGCACCAATGGCCCTGCTGCAGACCCTGGGCCTGGCCAGCGCGTCTCCCAGGACCTGGGGCCCTGCCCAGAAGGGAGCCCAGGTTGCAGGCACCACTGGGGGGTGGTGCCAGGAGCAGCTGCAGGGAGTGAATCTCTTCCAAGGGAGGGGGCTGCAGTCATTGATACAGAATTGACCACAGTTACCTGCGAATCCTCGGGCTCTTCTGAGTCCTGGAACAACCAGCAGAGAAAGAGAGGTGAGAATTCACACAGCAGAGTCACCCGGAGCGGGGATCAGGTACGTACACGGCCCCTCCCCACAGCACCCGGCTCTGCACCGTCTCACAACAGACCAGGGCTCAACAGGCTCCGACTCCCCCTCGGCTTTTCTGTCCCAGGTTTCCCGGCTGGGTTTCTCCCCCATGCAGAGCCCGTCACACCCGCCCAGCCCAGGGGCTGCTCCAGACAGGGGAACAGGCTTCCAGCAGCTGTCGTGCCCTGCTCTAGCACAGCGACCCAGGAGTCTCCCCTCTTTCTGCAGCCAGCCCCTCTGGAAGGAGAGAGAGAGAGAGAGAGAGAGAGAGTAATTAGCCACAACCCCTTTCTCACCACTACTAGAGCCACAGCTCTTTCAAGCTGATACAATATCCCAGCACAGGCTGGCGACCAAGGCAAAAGGAGGGAGCTTCTCCTAGATATTTAGGCACCTAGAGATGCAGGTAGACACTGAGTGGGATTTTCAAATGTGCTGAAGCAGGTTAGGCAAGTCCATAGGAGTTAGGTGCTTTGGAGGTTCCCACCAGACACCTAAATACCTTTGAAAGTCTGGCCCAAGGTGCTCAAACACGAGGGCCCTGATGCTCAGCTGGTGTCAGTCAGGGAGGCGGGAATCCGGCCCTGAGTCTGTGATAACGTC